CGTATAATTCAGTTAATTCATAAAATAATTAGGGACTTTTTAGAAAGAAATATAAAAATAATGCGTACGAGTGTGTATATATGAGTATCGTATATAATTACAAAATATTTATAATGCGAATAATTACTAAAATATTATTAATTAAAATAAATCAGATAAAAAAATATATAATACGTAGAACAGGAACGTGTTTAATTGTAAATACATCTGATTGAAAACTGAGAAGGGAAGTGATAAGAAAACATTTATCTCATTAAAAGAACGGTTTCTCGATCGTTTAAAATGTTTTGTTTCTATGCATATATACGGGGTGAATCTTGTAACTGGGACGGATAATAACTTCTTTTTGAGTAACAATAGAGAAAAATGTTAAAGAAAAAAGTTATATGGCACAATACATGTCATCTTTCTATGACCTTACTTTATTTGAAAATGCATCGATGCACTCGCTAGATGCAGTTTCACTTATTTTTTAAATGGAACTCTACATTTTTTTTATACCATTCGATTCCTTTCTTTATTCTTTGTAAAAAAGTATTAAGTGAAGATCATTGAAATATCAATAGTTTACGAAATATTTGAAGTTTTATATATTAGTAATGTATTTTATTACAATAAATGTTCGAATGTTCCTCCATTGCATTCTAAACATTTTCTAATGCGCTTTTTTACATTTTTCATTACATTTTTTTACGAATAATGGAATGTTCAATAGACGCAATGAACATACATATATTTCACTTCTTGGTTAGTGTTTATATTCGATAGTTGTGACGTTTTTATTTTAGGAATCTCACCGTGTTGAACTTGTTAACACGTCGACCTTCGTATTCAGTGTCCTTCCTACATATTGTATTATGTTTTCATATTTATGTCAGTTTATTTCGAACATCGAAATATGTAAGATCGATATTAGACGAGTATACAAATTTATTTCGTTTATATATACACATGCGTGTTTGTTGCTATGCAAATACTATACATATGTGTGCGAGTTGTGTAATACTTGTGAATGTGTATGTGTGTACAATCTACATTAAGTGTGAATTATTTTAAATATGAATTCATTTAAATTTTATTGAAGAAGAAAAAAATCATTTTTTTTTTTGGAGATAATTAATTAATCTTTATATTCTGAGAAGAGAAAGAGAGAGAGGCAAACACGTGAGAGAGTGTTCACCCTTTCACATTCGTAACTTTTGAAAGTATGTATAAGTATATATATATATGTATTTATGTCCTAACGAATGATCGGTTCCTTTCTATCACCCTGAAGGCATTTAAAAATGTTACTAATTAAATTTTTAGACAGTTTGATTTAATAAAAATTATTTCTTATGAAAGATCTCTCGAAGGATTTTGCTAGACATATTTTAAAATTGATCATATCTTTGATGATTTTAAATTTGGAATTTAATAGAGATCCCTTTTATATTTAAAGTCTTTCAATATATATATGTCTTTACTATTTTAATATATTATACAGGATGTCTAGAAAAATTAGAACTAAATTTATACTACGTATTACTTTACTTTACTTTACTTTACTTTACTTTAAATTCATATAAACTCATGTTCGTAAATTTATTATTTTTTATGTATTTTTTCTTACTATTAATTAAACATAAATTTGTTTATTCTCCTTTTTTTCTTTTCCATAGATTTATGCATAATTTAAGCGAATTTTTTTGTATGCACAAGCATATCTTCTTTATTTTTATTAACTTAGTTATTTAATTATTTTATTTAAGTATTTTAATTATTAACTAATTAATTATTTAATTTTTATTATTATATTATTTAGTTTCAATTTGTTATATTAGTATTTTTTAAATGTTTGTTACGTTTTTAGGTATTTCTTTTTCTTTTTTCAACCGTTAGTTTTACATAAAATTTGTTTCTCTCTCTCTCTCTCTCTTTTTCTCTTTTTTTTTTCTTTTTTTTTCTCATCGTTGATGAATACAGCTGTAGTCTTGGCTTCCGTTCATTCGCCTTCCCCTCCTACAATCAGTCTCTTTTCGCACGTGGCATTATTTCACCGGTAACCAGGTGTTCATTCTTTTTTTTTCTCTCTTTCTTTCCTTCCCTTTTCTTTGTCTTTTCTTTTTCTTTTTTTTTATTCCTTACTTCGTCCGGGATTATCAATGCACGGAAGTCGACGTGACGAGTTAGTCCAATTAAACGTATTCTTATTTAATTTCGTTAGATTTTTGCATACTTTTCCGGAAAATATTATGTAAAGTATTCTACTTGCACGAGAGCAGTTATCATTATAAATTATTATTAGTATAATTTGAATGAAATTGTATTTTTAAATGGAAAGAATGAAAAAGGTGTCCCAAAAGTTGATTTTGTCATGAAAAGAAAAATAAAAGAAAAAATGAATATTGATTTATGAATACAAATGAGATGTAATTTTATTTTGAATTACTATTTTCAATTACAGGAGCATTGCTATAAAACTATATCCGCCACTCCAGAAATATTTTATACCAAAAAACAACGATTTTTATAATTTTTTCATTTAGAAAGAGGATTTTGTTTTGTAGGATACTTTGATTAATTATTTTTGTTAAAAAGTTATTTTTATTATTTATACATAAAGGTATTAGGTGTGCATTGTAATTCTAGTCTAAAGACTACAACGTGCACCTTCGTGTAAATTAGGAAAAGTTCAAATTAAAGATATGCGTATAGACATATCGACTTTCTAGTACCATGAACTTTCATCCATTCTCGTTACTTTCCATCGATCATTTTCTCTCGTAGTTATTCAAATTCCAGCCCGAGTCGAATGTCAAGTCGAGTGAGATCGTATGTTGGATAGTAGATAGATTATTAACATAATGTGATTCGATATGTGAATTAGAGGGAAAAAATAAATAGATTCGATGTAATTAGATATTTTATACTTTGTTAGAATTTATTTATTTGTACCAGTTGTTCGGGAATCTTTCAGAAATGAAGAGCAATAAAAAGAAATAAAATTTAGGAAGCTAAAATTTGAAAATAATTTATTTTTTAATTATTTCAAGCGAGTTTTCAAAAAATTATCATCTTTATTTGTAATAAATATTGTTTTCCTTCTTTCAATTTTTATTTTATTCTATGATATATGTAAAATACAATTTTTGGACTTGTATTTTATTCTGTAAATTGTAGTCAAATTTTGGGTGTGCACTTAATGCATTTTTAGAAACAGTTTCACTTTTAATATTATTTATCTTGAAGAAAAATTGTTAACAATTGTACGTGTATCCAAATAACATTTAAATCTCAAAAGCTAATCTCGTGGTATTTGAATAATTAGTTGGAAAATAATTCGTACGATATACGATGAGTATTACGAACATTATATTGTTAGCAACGTTTTTCATTCATATCTAGCTTTTTTTTTAAGTAATTGGTTTTGCAATGAATACAGCAGATTTTTATTAAAAATTTATGAACCATGGGTTCCTGACCCCCTGTATTATACATATATAGAAACACCATGAAAAAGAAGAAGAAAAGACATTAGATTATTTCGATAAAAGGATTAAAAGTCATCGTATTCTAAGATCAAAGATTGAAAAGCTACGATAGCACCTTCCTCTCGTTAATTTACAAGAAACGTCTCACAATTAAGGACGGGAGCCAAAAATTGAATGGCTGCTTAGAGGCACCAGGATGAGAGTCGAGTTACATGAAACGTTGAAGATTCGAAAAAGTAACTCTTACCTTATGTTAGTAGAATCTTAGATGCCGTGAATGCTTCTCATCGTCGTAGTAACTTCGTCTTTGTATATATAAGGTGAACATTATATTACGTGATCATATTTTGATTATATTCAAATATATTATATAAATTACTTTACATCAAAATATCCTACTTTTAATAAATACTTATACTTTTATATATTTGTTTACCATGAAAGAATGAAATTGGAGTATGTTAAGATTCACATGGTGAAATGTCAACACATACCAATACGATGAAAAACCGAATATTTGGGTTTATTCTTATACATTAGTATTTTGTAATATAATATTATCATATACTAATGTGAATCTTCATTCTCCAATTACAGCTCTTCACACAATAACATATATATATTTATTTATTTATTCTTTTTTCATATTCTTTTAATTATAATATTTACATAAAAAAAAACCTAAATATGTCAAAAACGGATTGACTTTTCGATCTATATATTTGCCCCCCCCCCTCAAGACATTTTTTTAAATTACAACTAATAGTTCAACTTTAATGACCGCTCACACAACATGTGTGTGATAGCCGGAACATTGGACGTTATTTTATTTATAACTTTATATATATATATATTTTTTTTAAATTTATAAATATATATATATTTTAAATTATATATAAAATGAAATTTTTATTTTTTGTTTTATGTGTTAATTTTTTCGTGAATGACAATAAAGTTTTTTTTTAAATTAATTCTTGAAAAATATTATCGGGCCCCTTGACGACGTTTGACTGCGTACACGTGCGGCCATTAAAGTGTTAATATGCTCTATGGATTTTATAAATTATATATATTTTTTTTTACTGAACACCCTATATAAGTAACTATAGATAAACCTATGATTTTGTTGGCGATGTAGAGATGCCCCCTCTCCCCACATTAAAAGACTCGTCGTCACAGGTGAGGCCCAACTCCCACTACCTTCGTCGGGCCCCAACTCCTACTTCCTCTTTTTTCCTTCTGCTCTTCTTACTCTTTCTCCTAGATGGGAGGGGAGGGGTAGGAGAAATACAGAACGAAGAAGCCGAAGAACTCGCGTCCTCGCGAGTCTCAGAAGTCAACGGCGAACCGTGAAATCCACGTCTGCTCCGCTCGCGTATCTTCTCTCTTCTCTTATTTTATTTTATCTAATTTTTTCTCTCTCTTTCTTTTTGACGTACGTTTCTCTCGTTCAAAGCATTTGTTTCTCTCTCTCTCTCTCTCTCTTTCTCTCTCTCTCTCTTTCTTTCTTTCTTTTTTTTCTTTCATTCTCTTTCGGAGTGAAACGATTTTATTTCGTGACGACAAAGACTATACGACGATTTATAACTTTCGTTTTCGAGAAAAACACGCGAGATCTTGGTCGATCTATGGTGGTGAGTTCAAGGTCCAAGGATAATCATCCAAAGTGAGTGCATCGAACTCAACTACAACTCAACTACGACGTAGGATTCTAGAATAGTTGTTGTTGTTGTTGTTATTTTTCTTCTTTCTTTCTTCTTCTTCTTCTTCTTATTATTATTATTATTTTAGTTCTTATTCTCGTTTTTAAAAATAGTTTCATATAAAAAGATCGTGATTTTTGTTTGTGTTATTTCCAAAAATGTATTTAATCGGTTTTTTTTTTAAGCTTATTTTTAAGATGCGACAAGTTTTTTGATATATTCATCGATTACGATTCGTGAATTATTATTTACATTCGTGGATTCTTTTTTAATCTAATTAACGATGACAAGATAAGTTAATGTTTTACATTTTTTGTTTTGTTTTTGATATTATTCATATAAATTCCAAAATAAACATGAATTTTTAAAGTTTCATAGAATGATCGATCTTTCGTTTTACAGATAATCGATTTCTTTTTATCGTTTTCGTAACGATACTTTCATAAAATAGAAACTAATTTTTACGTTTACAGATAATCGATTTCTTTTAAAGATATTACCTAGTTAAAAAAAGATCTAGAAGAAAATAAAAAAAAAAAGATACTTTCTACAGTTGTATTAAACGAACAAAATTAATTTAATCCGTGATATATTATTCTTTTTAAAAAAAATTATTGTATGCGTAAAAAGGAAATTTGAACAAAAAAAAGAAAAAAAAAAAACAACAATTTAATTCGTAAAATACTTAAGTAGTACCTTCCAGAAGGTGGAAAGTTGATACGTGTGTGTTCAACGACTTCTTCACGCATCGTCTGCGACCCTTTTTTTCTTCGACTAATTGTAAAAAAGATTGAAGTTAGTGTGTTTGTGTGTGTTTATACGTGTAGAACACCGATATCAAGCTTACATACAAGATACGTATGTTGCTTCCGGTTTTGTAGGAGTGCACGAGAATTGGCCAAGTGTTAACGTTCGAGGTGCATCCGTAAGAACCGTGAGGCTGCTACCCTTCACTATCCTTTTTCCCCCCTCTTACCACCCCGTTCCTACCTACCACAAGTACAACCAGTCACGGATCGAGGATCATACCGCGAATATCGTGAAGCTTAATAAGAACGAACCATGCTGATACTTCCGGACATAAAGTTACAGGTAACTCGTTACTTGCTTACCTACCGTTAATTATTCCTTCTTACTTTACTTTACTTTACGTAAATATCTCTTTTTCTTCTTTGCTACTTTTTCTTCTTCTTTTTTAATTTTTTTTATTCTTGCATGAGATAAAACCGTGTTATTCCGTGCGTGGAAACGTTTGAACGTTCGAAATCGTTGCACGCTATTTTTTTAAAAGTGTTAGTGTCGATCTTGATCGTTTGATCGAAGGAAAATTGGAAACGTGTTTTCTACCTGTATCTATAGTGTAAATTATATAAAATTTGTATATGCGTACTATTGTTACGGCAGTACGATGTGAAAATAAAGAAAGTTGATTAAATACATTTCTTTCTTTGGAGAATGTTATTTTAATATAGAACAAATATTGTCAATATTTAACTTTGCTTGTGTTGTTTTTTAATAGTATGGTTTATTGTATTTTCAAACTTTTTAAAGTAAAATTGTTGGTTTTTTCTTGTATAGTTGTTAACGATATAAAAATAAATCAATTCGATTTTGAAGACCTTTAAACTTTGGAATAAAAGTTGATTTATAAAAAGATTTGTTATAGAAATGAAATTCACATCATATTTTCAATTTAATTATCTAAAATTTGAAAAGTTATTAATTATAGTGTGTGAGAAGTTCTGTATATATCATGAGTGTGAGAGTGTATAAGTATGAGTTAGCAATTGTATAAGATTTCAGGATATAATTAGAATAGAAAGAATACATAGTCTATGTTATTTGATAGAAAGTTATTATGACAGATAGAAAGAAATAGTGAGTGTGTGTGAGATTCAAAATTCAACAAGAAACAAATGATTTTTTATTAACATAAAAAAAATCAGTCTTCTCTTCTCTGCATCAATCATCAGCAATTAATAATATGAATTATTTCAAGTATTAAAGTGTATAGTAAATCTTTAAATGAACATTCGAATAAAATGTTTTACCTTTTTTTTATTTCGATTTTTTGTTCTCACGTGAAAAAAATGTGAAAAATTATAAACGTACTATTTCTTACGGGGATGAAATCGACTTTAGTATTGCATCGTGTAGAATAATAGTCCTCGCATACCTTGATGCGTTTCCTGTCGAACGACGTAGGTAGAGACTACGACGAAGTTATACGTCGGGAGAGAAAGAGAGAGGTAACATCAACAGAGTATGGAGGATGAGTATATATCCAGCATGGCATTCTAAAGTAGTAACAACGATTGCCTACCCATCGCTCCAGGCATACCAAACTTGTAATATCGTATTATTTCTATGGCTCACGAACTTTTGCTTATTACGTTTTCCTTTTAAAAATATTTATTTTATTACTCTGAGATATTTATTATATTAAAAATTATTTCTCTTATAAATGTTACAATCTCATTTTTCAAATATAAAGTATATTTAAGTATTTTTATATAATTTATTAATTATTTCTAATCATTAATATATATATTAATTATATCGTAATTAATTATATTATATATATATAATTATAATATATAATATATAATATATAATTTTATTTAAAATTATTTTATATTATTTTATATTTATATATAATATAATATATAAATTTTATTAATATATTATAATGTATTATATATTATTAATTAAATCGTTTTTTTTTAATATAAATAATTTCATTTTACTCATTATCACATATATTATAAATATTATAAAAATAGTTGGATGATTAATAAGTATGAAAAATATTTTAAGTAGATACAACGTAAATTTATTAATGCATACATAATACTTATATGCATACTTAGATATATGCTGATATGTTTCATTGAGGTTCTGTTTAAACGAGTTTGCGTAGGTTTTTTCCTTTTTTTTTTTATTACTTTCTTCGCTTATACGTTTATTGCAACTTTTCGTAATCGATTATTCTACAATCGAACTTACTTAGCAACAATTGTCAGTAAAAACCTCGACTTCGTTACATTAATTAAAAGACATACCCTACTACTTCATTAATAAAACATTACTAAACCGGTGTCATCTCTAGGGAATAACAATGAAACAATTTATAAATAGACATTTATGGTATTAGAACTTTTTTTTATGAAATCCTTTATTAAACGAAAGAGTAATCATTGTGGTAAATACGATTCTTCTTCTTCTTCTTACTCTCGTACTTTCACCTTTTTCCAAATTGTACGATCACGCGAGAGAAAGAAACACATAGAGGGGATAATCACTCTCCTTGAACGATGCAATCAAAGTAACCTCGAGAGAAAGAGAGATTCTCCTTTCGTTCACGCGTTGGTCCATGGTGTGTACGCGTACAAAATAAAGGAAATTCTCATAACCCAATTAGAAAGCCAAAGAATTACGAATTAATTTAGTTATTGTGATTCGTGAGATCATATACACGCTTTAATTCGTTCTATCAAACGTTTTCTTTTTTCTTTTTTATTTCTTTTTCTTATTTTTTTTCATATACAGTTTATTCCAAAAGGTCAAGGTCGAATTTACGTTGTATTAAATAAATGTTAAATAAAATTTAATAAATGTAATAAATGTTTATTTTTTGATCATTTTGATCAAAAAATGATCAAAACCAAAAGCCCTTTTAAATTTAATTTAAATTTAATTATTTTATTATTAATTATATAATATTATCATTATTATTATATAATTAAAAATTAGATTATATTATTATTTATATTAAAATTACTTAAAAAAATAAATAAATATTAAAATGAAAAAGACACCATCCAATATTTATTAAAGAAATTTCTCGGTAATTTGTGAATTTCTTTGTAGATACAAGTTTTTTAACACTTATATTAGTCTCATTATCATACATCTAACTATTGTCACTATATACGTATATCTATATTTATATGATAGTAGGGAGTGCGTGTGAAAAAGGATACTTTCGTCGAGTCGACACACTTATGTTAGTATTTAACTGAAATTCAATAAAATTGTTATTAAATCTCGATTTTGTGTTAAGGATTGACCTAGGAATTTCTTAATGTCAAAGTACTCCTTAAAAGATTAATAACTATCTACATCTGACAAGAGTTAGTTTTAAAAACCGTTATTCAAGCACTCGGATTCCTTTTAGCAATCGAGTCGAGTTTATGTCTTTCTTTTCTTTAAAAAAGAATGAAAAAAAAAAAAAGAATTAAATATAAGAAATAAAAAAGAAAGGTAAATGTAAGATACATTCTAAAACAACTTCAATCGTCCTAAGCTCTTGCAATTACAAAAAAGGGATTGAAACATTAACCTTGATGATCATCCAAGCGTCGAAATAGTCGCACATGTCTAGACCGGATCCGGTCACTTGGTTACTTCTCAATCATTTGAGGAAATTCTTTCGATGAAATCATTTCCTTTGTTGAGATAAATGCGATAATTGTCTATAATTATCTCTTATCAATTCTCGTTATGATGACATAATTTTCCTTGTAATTCGAACGTATCAAAAGGGGATCGATCATATCGTTAACGTGAAATAATAATAATAGATATTAACATTTAAATTTAATTAACCCTTAAATGAGATCACAAGTGTAAAATCATAATATACATATATGTATATATATATATATAATAATAATAATTTGAATTGTAATTTCATTTACAGGATAATTATTTGTAAGAAGTATTATTCGTTTAATATTATAATAGAAATGATGATAATGTTGTTTAATATATTATTATTTTATTAAATAATTTAAATTTATTAATTTTTATTATTAAATTAATATTTATTATTTATTTTTTTATTCATTATTTATTTATTTTATTTATTATTATATATTTTTTTATTTATTAATTAAATTATTTAAATTTCAATATTTTCATTCATAATTAGTTATATTACATATTTATCAAAATAATAATATATTCAGATTACATTTGCATAAATATAATATAATTTTCTTTATTTGTTATAATAATATTACTATACCATGTGTTATTTTCTTTCTATTTCCATTACATTCGTATATTTGCAATAATTACGACGAATGACACCAATTCGAGTACACATAATAAATGTTCAATTTTGTTTCTTGTTTTTGTTGATCTATTCCCTATTTCTCATATCGATAAGATGTTTTTCTTAAAGAGTTACTTCGTCATCATTGAGGAAAAACGAGTTTGAACGTGTGAGAAAAGAAAAGAAAAGAAAAGAAATGAAAAGAAATGAAAAAAGAAAGAAAATAAAAAACGAAATGGCGTGGCGCGAACGGAGAGAAACGTGGACGCACCCTATTTCCTGTATGTCGGATCGTCTGCTGCCTATCAGTGGCTTTCAAAGGGGATGGTGGGGGCTTTGAGAGTGGGATACCGTTACTGGCCCCCTTCTCCGTATTCCACTAAAGATCTTGTCGTCTTTCATTCTCCTTCATTTCTCCCCCCTTTCCCCCTTCCCTCATTTCCTCCCTCTCTTCCTTCCCCTCTTCCTCTTTCTCCTCATTTTCTTTTTATTTTTCTTGTAATTCTCGATGAGACTCCTCCTGGACCGCAAGACCAATTCCATGTTCTCGCAAGACGTGTCCTCTAAGACACGGACTAAACAACTGTCAAGATTCACCTTTCTCGAGAATCTTGATCATCATCATCATCATCATCATCATCGTCGTCGTTGTTCTATAAAAACAAACTTTTTCGAGAAGAGAATAGATAGGGGAGTAGGGGGAGTTAACACAGGACACGGATTTTCTCCTCTTAAATAGCGTACTTGTTAATTGTGAAATCGTGTTTTCATATTTTTACTCGATAAAATAGAGATCTTTGGTTTTTATCAATATTTGAAGAGGTATTATCGTTAAAAAATTAGATCTTTTTTTTTTGTCGAACGAATACTTTGTAATATTGTTTGAGTGGTCCCCAAAAAGTTTGTACATACATTGATAAATATATATATTCTATTTATGAACTTATGTTATTGTTAACATTATGACGTCCGGTGGCTCCACGTTGGTACCATGCGAAAACTATCGGGTAAGTGCCGATGGCTCCACGTTGAT